GAACGGTTGCAAACGGTTGCGAACGGTTGCGAACGGTTGCGAACGGTTGCGAACGGTTGCGACCGGTTGCGACCGGTTGCGAACGTAAACGCAACGTCGAGCGAACACACCCTCAGCCCCCGGACCCCCAGAGTGAAACCGGAACCCTTGCTACGCATTCGGGAACAACTTATAATATTTGGGGTAGAAATATTTGGGGTAGAATTTTGGAGTGCATAAACAGTGCCAAAGCAAATACCATCGGAATAACGATATTCCCATATCGAAAACATGTGTGAAACCCAGCAGATTGGACATTTTTTGGGGTTTTGGGCAAGTTTTGGATCACGATTGCCAAATTTAAGGCAATCATTGTACCGACACATGCACAAGCATCAAAGGAAAAAGAAAAGCAAGGGTAGGAACAGAAGAGAATACAAGCGAACACCCTCTTTGCATTACAAGAATGCGTATACGACACCGGTCGTGGAGTGTACCCTTCGGTGAGCTTGAAAAACTCATTTTTTAGATACAATATAAAAAGATATTGATCATTTCGGGGGACCTGTTTTTTTGTTGAAACGTTGTAGTTTAAGAACTTCAGACATTATGTATATGATATATACCCTTTGACATGGAAGAGACCACATTCCTTGCAGAACTACATACATAGAATATAAGTCCCCAGTGAAAATATTCATCATTTTTTTGAGGAACACCACCTAATTCCAGTGGTTTTCATGGCAAAATGATTTTTTTTCATAGTTCTACGACACCGGTCGTGGGGGGTACCCGTCGGTGATCAATTTTTTGAAGGCCACCACCGAATTCCATTGGTTTTCATTGCAAAATATTTTTTTCATAGTTCTACGACACCAGTCGTGGGGGGTTCCCTTCGGTGAGCTTGAAAAACTCATTTATTCATACAATATAAAAAGAAATTGATCATTTCGGGGGACCTTTTTTTTTTTGGTTGCAACGTTGTAGTTTAAGAACTTCAGACATCCAGGGTTGCCACTCCCCAAAGGCAATTACGTATATGATATATACCCTTATACATGGAAGAGACCCCATTCCTTGCAGAACTACATACATAGAATATAGGTCCCCAGTAAAAAAAAAACATCATTTTTTTGAGGAACACCACCTACTTCCATTGGTTTCCATTGCAAAATATTTTTTTCATAGTTCTACGACACCAGTCGTGGGGGGTTCCCTTCGGTGAGCCTGAAAAACTCATTTTATAATACAATATAAAAAGAAATTGATCATTTCTTGGGGCCTGTTTTTTTGGTTGAAACGTTGTAGTTTCAGAACTTCAGACATCCAGGGTTGCTACTCCCCAAAGGGAATTATGTATATGATATTTACCCTTTGACATGGAAGAGACCCCATTCCTCGCAGAACTACATACATAGAATATAGGTCCCCAGTGAAAATATTCATCAATTTTTTGAGGAACACCACCCAATTCCATTGGTTTTCATGGCAAAATATTTTTTTCATTATTCTACGACACCGGTCGTGGGGGGTACCCTTCGGTGAGCCTGAAAAACTCAATTTTTTCATACAATATAAAAAGAAATTGATCATTTCGGGGGACCTGTTTTTTTTTTGAAACGTTCTAATTTAGGAGCTTCAGACATCCAGGGTTGCTACTCCCCAAAGGGAATTACGTATATGATATATACCCTTTGACATGGAAGAGACCCCATTCCTTGCAGAACTACATACATAGAATATAGGTCCCCGATGATATTCATCAATTTTTTGAGGAACACCACCCAATTCCATTGGTTTTCATTGCAAAATATTTTTTTCATAGTTCTACGACACCAGTCGTGGGGGGTTACCCTCGGTGAGCTTGAAAAACTCATTTTTTTTATAGCAGTAGTACCGGTGGCGGAAGTTTCAGAAATAGGAAACCTATAGGAGAGGTTGGTTGTTGCGAATCACGGATGGCAGAGCGAATCCACTGATGGACCGACAGATGGTTGAGGTCTCCTCTCTCTCTCTCTCTCTTTCTTTCTCTCTTTCTCTGACTATCTACCTAACTACCTTCTCTCTCTCTCTCTCTCTCTCTCTGTCTGTCTGTCTGTCTGTCTATGTGTTGATCTATCTATCTACCTATCTACCTACCTATCTATCTAGCTACCTGTCTATATATCTATCTATCCCTCCATCTGTCTGTCTACCTATCTATCTATCGATCGATCTATCATGATCTATCTATCTATCTGTCTGTCTGTCTATCTATCTATCTATCTTTCTATCTATCTGTCTATCTATCTATCTATCTATCTTTCTATCTATCTATCTCTATCTATCTATCTATCCATCTATCTATCTTTCTTTCTATCTATCTGTCTATCTATCTATCTATCTATCCAACTATCTATCTATCTTTCTTTCTTTCTTTCTATCTATCTGTCTATCTATCTATCTATCTTTCTATCTATCTCTTTCTATCTATCTATCTATCTGTCTGTCTGTCTGTCTATCTATCTATCTATCCAACTATCTATCTATCTATCTATCTATCTATCTATCTATCTCATCTGTCTATCTCTCTATCTATCTGTCTGTCTATCTATCTATCTATTCTAATCTAATCTAATCTACTCTACTCTACTCTACTCTACTCTAATCTAATCTAATCTAATCTATCTATCTATCTCTCTCTCTCTCTCTCTGTCTGTCTGTCTGTCTGTCCGTCGGTCTGTCTGTCTGTCTATCTACCTGTCTATCTGCAAGCTTGAAAACGATGCTATTCTGCGAGACGTCCTCAGGTTTTTAACTTGACAACATCAAAAACTGCGAGGCGTCTTCATTTTTCAAAGTTGACAACATCAAAAACGAAGCATTTCTGCGAGACTTCCTCAATTTTAAGTTGGCAACACCAAAAACGAAGCAATTGACTTCTTCATTTTTCAAACTTGACAACATCAAAAACGAAGCAATTCTGCGAGACTTCCTTCAAAAATGGAAAGTTGCATGCACACTGACGGCAACGTGCCAATGTGTTTTGCGATTTTTCCAGTCCACCTGCTAAACTACTGCGCCTGCCAGGAAAAAGTGATGCCAGGCCATACGAAGGGCTGCACCTGTCACGCAAAATCATCTCAGCAAACCTGAAGGTCTGATGCTCCAAAATGCAACCCCTCTCAGGAAATCAACGCCCGGACCTCCTAACAGCTCTGATGAAGATGTCTCTTCTACTGCGCCTGCCACGGAAAATGCATCTTTGCAGATCCTGTTCAAATGTCCCACGCCCGCCATCGTTTTTGGAAATGCTACAAAACCCTCACGTTTTGCTCACTTTTGACAAGGTCCACAATCCCTTGCGCCTGCCACGCGAAGGCACATCTGAACGTCCAAAAATGGTCCGAACCCCTGGTGTTTTCTACATTTTGACTTCGAAATGTGCTTCGTGCCACAGCGGCGTCCATTTTTTCGACATCCCAACTTCCAAAAGTGGTCCGGAGCTGGTGTGCTTTCTACCTTTCGACTTCGAAATGTGCTTCGCGCCACAACGGCGTCCACTTTTTCGACATCTCAACTTCCAAAAGTGGTCCGAACGATACGTGTTTTTAGCTTTTTCACTTGCACATGTGCTTCGCGCCACAACAGCGTGCACTTTTTAGACATCTCAACTTCCAAAAGTGGTCCGAACATGCCGTGCCTTTACCTTCTTCACTTGCAAATGTGCTTCGTGCCACAACAGCGTGCACTTTTTCGACATCGCAACTTCCAAAAGTGGTCCGAACGTGAGGTGTTTTTAGCTTTTTCACTTGCAAATGTGCTTCGCGCCACAACGGCGTGCAATTTTTCATCTCTCATCTGGCCAGATGGCTCCGCAACCGCCGCTTTAGCAAGCCTACTTTTCGACCCTCTGGAGTCACAAATCATTGGAAAAACACAGCGTTTCGCAACTTTCCTACCTTTTTGCGCATCTGCATCTTCTTTCTTCTGACTCTTTCTCTTCTCTGATCTTCTCTCTTCTACTCTTCTCTTCTCTCTGACTCTTCCCATCTCTGCTGTTCATCTGTCCATATTGTCGGAAGTTTGACTTCTAAACTTCCTTCGACAATATAAACAGAAATTGATCATTTCGGGGGACCTGTTTTTGGTTGAAAAGTTCTAGTTTAGGAACATTTCTACCCACCACATGGAATTACGTATATGATATATACCCTTATACATGAAAGAGACCCAATTCCTTGCAGAACTACATACATAGAATATAGGTCCCCAGTGAAAATATTCATCAATATTTTGAGGAACACCACCCATTTCCATTGGTTTTCATTGCAAAATAAGTTTTTTTTCTTCATGGTTCTACGACACTGGTCGTGGGGGGGTACCCTTCGGTGAGCTTGAAAAACTCATTTTTTTATACAATATAAAAAGAAATTGAGTAGTGGTCACCCCGCGATTGCCCCAGCAAAACGCGTTGCAACACACTTTCCATGCTGAAATCGCAGTTGTCCCTTTGTGGAACAGGTTTGAATCACAGCCGGCTGCAGCAATCCATGCTGCTGTTAAAACCTGAGAAAATTTATTTTCCTGGATCAAAATGGATAGCCGGAAGTATTCTATGTATAGGTTTTTTTCCGATTCCAGAAGATGTTTTTATTCTATGTATAGGTTTTTTACCGATTCCGGGAGATGCTTTTTGAGGCCGAAATTATCGATTCTGTATTCTATGTATCCCATCGGGGTTGTAGATATATGTGTATATATTACACATTATTGCTCATTGCATGATTGCATGTCATCTATTGTAAGGTAGTGTCAGCACACTGGAAGTAGCAAAAGCCACTCACCAATGTACCCATGTAATGTCACAGGTGTGATGTTTTACGCACACCCAGGGAGCAAGCTCCAATACCATGGTGGGGAAAGTACTCCTCCAGAAAATAAGAAGTGCTGCATCTAATTTTGTAACTCACAGCAACTGTTGATCCAAACGGTTCAAAAGTGAGATGTCTTCAGTATTAAGCTTGAGAGGCGCAAAGGGCCTGACAGATGCAAAGACGTTTTCGCTGGCACAAGTCCCGCATCACATTGTAAGCCAACTCTGTGTGCTGGATGTGTTCCATCTCCTCTGGCGTCATATCCAAAGGCATCACCGCATCTGGTGAAAGCGGCTCGTACACACCAAGCTGTGGAGGTCTGGGCAAAGTGGTTGACTCTTCATTCCTGTGAGAACACAGTCAGAACGCTCATAGTAAGAAAATGTATGAAACAAAGGTTGCCAGGCCACGCCAGGCCACGCCAGGCCCCTCTTTGTCAGCGCTCATGTCCCACACATGTCACAAACACATCTCAATCATGTCACAGTGCTCCAATGGAAATATGATAAAGATTGATAAAGTATGAAGGTGTATGAAGAAAAAGACATTGGAACACTTGCCCGGTCAGAACAAGTGTCTGGCAACCAATTGAGCTCACGAGCTCAGGCCGAATGCTCTTCTGCACTTCTCTTTCAGCAACTGCATCGCTGACTCTGTCAATGACTTTGGCAAACAAGCGCACCATCAACGTGTACGCTTTAGCCGCATGCTGGGCTTCCTCAACGGCTTCCAACTCAGACCTCAAAAGCTCCTTCGATTTGACCAATTCCTCCGGTTCTTTACTCGAGCCTGCTATCCGCTTTGCAATTGCAAGCCTCTTGTTTGCCGTGTGGTATTGCTGCTCCACCTCACAATCACTTCAAGGCCAAATGGCAAGATCGCAACAGCAAAAAATCCAAACAAACAAGCAAACCACGAAACCAATGCATGACACCCACACACACAGAGAAAAGTAAAGTTCCCGCCAGACAGTTATCTGGGCTGCAGTTGTTGATACACATGATGAAAAAATGAACATGGACTTCAGCATGCCAGACATTGAAGAAAGGGCGAGTCATGGTGGAGCATTAGCAGTAGTAGTCTGAAGAGTGCAGGACAACTATTATATATATATATATGTTTGCCTTCTCACCATTTTGTTCTCCTTTTGGTGAAAGCATGTTTCAACTCGACGACAAGGTAAAATGGTTTTAGTTCCCCACATCTTTGTGTGGGGTTCTTGTTTTTGATTCTGTGTCCCGTCCCGCCTCCGCCCTGCCTCCGCCCCGCCTCCGCCCCGCCTCTGCCCCGCCGCCTCTGCCTCCGCCTCCCTCAACTTTGTCACACACCATCTCACACCATCTTTCATTCAGAAACATACTGGCACACTCCCAACTCATTTTTCACAAGAGACGCTTCAACACTTCACCAGACGCTCTCTCGCAACTCTTGGCTTTATCTGTCAGTTCATTGTTAGTAAGTAACAATGGGTCACAGTTCTTGGAGTATATCAAAGATATACCTCACAAGTACTTATCTGTTCAGGTCACACACACACTTGACATCTATACCCACTGTTCTCCTTAAAATTCACCCACTGTCAGATCAGTCAAGATGTTCAAGGAAAGCGGATAAAAACGTAGAAGGGAAAAAGTCGTCTGGAAAAGGAAATTCGTGTACATCCTTGGGTCAATGGTCCATTGATCAAGGAGACCAAGGCGGGACAGGCCGTCAGACGGGTTAGAGTGGGAACCTATCCACCCAAACCACACTCGGCATTGGAGGTGGTGATACAAGAGGTAGGAAAACTGAACTATGGAGTGGACGTCACTCTCCCTGCTGTCGCCTCGGATGAGGCTATTAGCTGCGGCCTCGTTGTCGATGAACCACAGGATGTCCAAGGAGCGAAGAACTTGCGGGTGGAACCACGGCACAAGAAGTAACCAGGACGCGAAGAGGGAACGCAAAAGAAGAGGGACAGAGAGAACACCAACACGACACACCTGGCCCAGAGCGGGCAAACCCGAAAGGGCAAGGGAAAAGAAAAGCGGAGGCCGACAGACACGGAACAAGACCAGCGGAGGGGGGGAAGACGGAAGCGCCTGAACCAACCTAAACAGCGAAAACTTCGGCACGCGAAGGACCCAACCTACCTGAAGAGAGGAGAAGAAGACACATGAAATAGGGGACCCATGGGGGACTAGTTAGTGAAATGAAGCATCCACAAAACATGCAGGTTCCCCTAGTCAGGCTCAATGGCCTCCTCCTCAAGTCACAACCCCATAAACGGCTGTCAGTAGTCAAATAAATTACATGCACATTTGAACCGCACCAGAAACCATCAAGAGAAAGGAGAACCACACCTCAAGGCATGTCCTTTGCCTTCATCTCATAGATCATGCATGACATGGTAACTGTCTCTTGAACATCACTGAAAAAAGGAAATTGTTGTCGCAGCTTCAGGCTTTGCAGCAAACGGTCAATCTGAGAAATGGTGAGGCCAGTCACAGCGGCCAACTGTTTCAACACTCCCTTGACCGATGGGTGAGAAGCTGAAGATTGAACGACTGTTTCACTTTACTTAAACGAATTACTAGGTTGAAAAATGTAAATTCAGATATCAAGTCGTTGCTTCGCTCTCCTGCTTAGACAAGCGTTCCCCGAGGAGTTCATGCCACCGCGACGAATCCAGCATGAATCACACACTTGCTCAGAACAATCTTTGCGAATTCTGATGTGGAATGCAACGGACGTGCAAAAACACCAACAATAAATTCACACGAAGAATGAACATTCATATATAATAATATAAAGACGTATAATCACAGTAGACATTGACCATATAAACCAACAGCGATAAAATATATGTCCCCCCCAACATATGCGCCCAGGGGCGGGACAATATATGTATATATAATGCAGGTACGTTTACACAGGAACATTGCAGCGTCTTCGTTGGCCGCTGACTGCAATGTTCCCCAGCGGCCCCCTGCAATAAAAAGACATCTATACAGATGGTACACACACACAACGCTTTCACACACACACACACGTAACAAGCTTGAACACACAAACTTCCACACACAACTCTTCCACGCACAACCTTTCACACACAATTCTTTCACACGCAAATTGTCACACACAACTCTTTTACACATGGCTTTTCACACTAAACTCTTCTACACACAACTTTTTCACACACGACTCTTTCACATACAACATTGTCACACACAACCGTTCCTTGTCACACACAGCACTTTCACACACAACTCTTTCACACACAGCTCTATCACACCCAGTTCTTTCACACAATCTGTCTTCCCCATCCCATTTTCACACCTGTTTTGAGCTTGTTGCAAGAAGTTGACATGTGGGGTTATCCGGTCCTTTAATTTTGTTTATTGCCTTCCTGAATCGTGTTGACATGCGAATTCCAACGGTTCCTTGATTGTCAAACATGGATAGGCCCGCGTTGACATCAAGTTTTTCGCACTGAGACACCTTGGGTCTGATGGTGTCCATCCGAGTGTGAAAACTCGTTGGCCCCTGCAAATCCAGGTCTGACATACCAATTTCTTCATTTCTTCGTAACATGTCGCTGTACACTTCGTACATTTCCCGCTCCAAATTGTACTGGTTGCTGTTCCGGAGCAGCTCCAAGCGCTTCGCGGCCTCTCTTGGCAATTTCCTGCCCACGGAGACCCGCGGATATCAAAAAGTCTTTAAGTCTCAAAATGAGCATGATGATGTTATATGATGTTTACATAAATGAACGTGCAAGGCCAATGCCACATGCAAGAATAAACAGTTGAAAGATTAAATATCATCACCCAGCACAACACAAACACAAGTATTTGCAAATCAGTTGCGGTAGGCCGCAAATCTTCACATTCGGCATTTGGCACACGGTGGTCTCGATTGTATTTGTAAAAGGGCGGTGCCAGATTCTAGCCAATTCTAGCATGTGAATAGACTAAATGTGATGCATGACAGTACTTAACGAAACGCCATCGTTGAGGTATGGGGAAGTAATACTCATGTATATAATGTAGACTGACATATCGGCAGCTCACGGTAGTCGTCAAGCCGAAACATCACATCTGCACACTAGGGGTGATGATGATTCAGCAGTGATGGTCACTGGCGACCCTCTGAAATCCAACCTGTGCAGTTTGTTGCAGGTAGAACCCATCAAACTGCTGTTGATGCATGTTTCCAGTGAAGATATTATACAGAATTATACATGCAAACCACCAACGAACGACAATAAATGCCTGAAAATCCTGCATCTGGCGGCATTTTCTCCGCACTCCGCGCAAGTCTTAGAGTCGACGGCCATGGTGAAGCCGATTCCCAGAAGTAGAAGTTCATGAACTAAAGAAAGAAAATGAAAGAAAGAAAGTTGTCATGTTATGTGCTATCTTGAAAGAACATGCGCAGGCACATGTTCTAAGCTGCGAGTTCCCCGCCGGCTGGATGCCAGGCAACAACCCATACTACGGTACTATAGAATCACGTAGAATCATACAACCTAACCGAGTACTTCCAGGACATTCCGCGCTGTCGTGGCAATGCCTTGTGGCATAGGAGACATTCGCACTCTCAGACCTGGAGAAATCAAGAGGCCACAAGTTTTGACAGTTCTAGCAACACACAGAGAAACAGACTCACACCTGCCACGCCTGCAGAAAATAGAGAAACCTTGAGCAATTGCTATCTCCAGTTTTTTTTGGCATGGCCCGGATCGACCACCGGCATCCTGCGATCTAAGTTACTTGCGCAAACAAAAGCAGAAAGCAAAAGCTGAAAGAGCAAGACATGTTCAAACAAATCTGAAAACTAGAAAAAAATCACTGGGAAATTATGTTCTTTGTCTAATTTGTTTTACTTGATTTTGGCTGTATCCTTTCGCGTTTTGTTCATCTTTGTTCTAGTTCTGCTTCTGCCACAAGTAGAAAGTGTGTAGAATGTCAGCAGAAAGTGTTGCCAAATGTTTTTGCTATATAAAGAGCTCCTGGAGGTTTCCATCTCGGAGTCTCTCTGCTGCATTCTTCGCCTCAATGCCTCCTCAAAGCTGACACCGCCACCGCCGGCCCTTTCACGGCTACGGCTGCGCCCCTTCCTGTTCCAGGTGGAAGGTCTTGAAGTTCAAGGATGTTCAAAGCTGTTCTAATGTCCCGGCTGTAGTTGAAACAGCTCAGCCGGAATTCAAAAGGCTACAACCCACGAGACATTACGAGGCATCAAGATAAATCAAAGGTCACCAGATGTCAGATGTCGTCTTTTTTATTCCCACTTCTTCCTTGCCTTTTTTTGCCACGGCTCCGTTTGCCACGGTCGTCGCTCGAGGTCACTGAAGCAGCTGAAATGGACTTTGATCGGCTTAGATGCCGATGTCGCTGGTCTCGCTTCTTCGGCGAACGTACTCGCTTTGACCTTGGCAAAAGACATGCAAAATCGTAAAGTCAATGGGGTAAAGCTCTGCTTGGAAATATCTCAGACTGCAGCCTCTCTTTCTCTTGAGGAGTGTGGGTTTGCTGAAGGCGCTCCAGCAGTGCAAGGGAACTATCAACGTCTTCTTCCTGCTTTTTCAGGCTGGCCTCGTTCTTTTCAGCCATTGCCTCAAAGCGTGCCTCAGAAACTCAGAAACTCAGAGTTCTCAAAATACTACCTTAGCAGCCACTAGAATGAAGATTACAGCACATCTTAGTGTAGCAAATTACCAATGAAAGCTCAAACGTGCTTTGTCCAAGATGAGGTTGGACATTGCAACGGGCCTGTTAAAGAGGATGCTGGGTTCAAACAGTAAGTTGTTCAAACTTGGCTTACCAGGGACCAAAGAAATTCAACAAATTGCCTAGTGACTTCAATGTTTTGTGACCTCCTGTGACACCTGTTACTTTGTCTACTGCTGCCTCACAGCGATCGCTCAATAGTCTCTGGTCACTCAAATCACTCAAGGCAACAAGACATACAAAACACAAGAAAATGATTTTTCGATTGAAGGACCTCGGAGTCTTCCGCACCCTTCCTTCTTTTCTTTCCACTTGTCAAAGGATCTGGCATCGGCCGTTCTCTGATGGTGAAGGTCCAACCGCCTCCCGCATCCTTCTCCGCATCGCCAGACTTATCTTCACTCCGCTTCGTATTGGCATCGACCTTCCGTTTCATCTCGGCCTTGCCATCTGTTTGGCCCTCAGCAGCTCTGCCTTCTCTCCTTCCGTCGACCTTTTCGACAGCTCTTTCTGTGAGCCTCTCAGGCCTGCCATCCCGCTTTACGGAAGGACTCAGCTTTCTATCCTCCTCCTCGGCTTCTTTGATGTCCTCTTCTTCGAAAAGTTTGTTGGGAGCCCACTCATCAGACCGGAGAAAGCGCCGCTGCTTTTCGGAGAAAATTGATAGGTTGTCGAGGATGAGTCCTGCAAATTGCGCCAATCACAGGAGCTACCAAAGATCACCACAGACTAATGCTCTAACAGTTTCCAAAGTCAACCCTGCCAGTAGGCTTGTTTTGTTCCTCGTAGCCTCTGGCTGTTTCTGGTGTGCATCGTCGCACAGAACTTACGATTCGAGACCTGAGTTGGGTTCAATGCAGCTAGCAGCTGTGGAGGTTTGCAAGAACATGATGAACACAGCTGCTTCAAAAGGCATTGCAAATCGCTGTCAACTTGAAGCAATGGCTGGCCCATCATCCTTGATTTCTACAGCAGCGGCTATATGTCATTTGTGGTTGTACATTGCTGTATCATTTTGCTGATCCTAGTTGTCAGTGGTACCATAAAGTTTGCGGGGCAACAATATTGTCTCAGGTGCTATGTCGTAGAGCTCAGTGGAACTGGCACGTTTGTCCTCGACCATTCTAAGTGCCTCAGCTAAATGAGCTGGCCCGTAACCCTGGAAACGTCATGAATTTGGCGCCACTTTTGGGTGTGTACATTTTGATCATTTTGGATGGTTTGGACATCACAGTCTGCCCCGCGCCTTGGACAGCCATTTGACACGAGCCTCTGGCTTCAAGGATAGAGCTGTCTTCAGATCCACCTGGACCTGGCAACGCCACGGGACACCACGTCAACCATCAACCGGCTCAAAACAACGAAGCTGGTCCAGCTCAAGCCATGTCCAGTGGTCCAGTGGTCCAGCCTCATCATTGTTCTCTACTATTTTTTTCACTTCCCCTCAGAAAGGGCCAGCATGCAACACAAAAGGCCATGTGAAGCTGGAAATTGGGATCAACTATTCAGCGGAAAACCATCAAAGAGTCTCTACATGAAACACTCAAGAGGCGCCTTTCCAAAATATTTTTCAAGTTCTGGCAAGAGTCGCTTTTGACGGGTAACCACCTCTGCTGGCAATCGCCGATTGAGAGGATTTGCATCCTCGCCCGACATGCCAAGCCCCCCAGTTGGGAGGAACAGCAGAAGGCACTGTTGAAGGGTTTCTTTGCGTCTTTGAGCCAGAACGCAAAACACCGTTTGTTCTCACAGCTCAAGCATTGAAGGACATCAAAACACGGGAACTGATTTGGCGTTCCAACTCCTTCCATGTAGCCTGCCTCCATCCTACCATGCAAACATTTCATAGGTGTTGAAGTGGCTATGGCCTTGGCTGTCTCCAAACCCTCTCCACAATGGTGCCCTCCCATCCTGCAGCATCATAGTGATAGGAAGCACAAACAATGATTGGGAGAAACCTAGCACAGCGTAGGTCCAACATCAGAAACCAAAGGATGGCACTTCGTTTGAAAAACATGCAGGTCCTGCCCCGCCATGAAGGCGAGTTTGCGCGGTTAGTTGTAAGGAACTACTCGTTCTCCAACGGTTCCATGTTGTGATTTTATCATGTCGTTGGTCCAGTAAAATATCAAGAATGCTAGTTCAGGATGGAGTAAAGGACCCCAATGGAATTCACATTGCGTTCAGGATGGGGGAAAAGACCCCAATGGAACTCACGTTGCAATGGCAAACTATTTAAATAGCAAGCTCGCCCGAGCTGCGGTTTGGAGACAAACGGCTTAAGGTCAAGCTGCATTGAACCATGCCACAGTTTCCATGGGCAAGGTCACACATCCGATCATGATTTTCCCACCAGACCCTACATTCCTGACGCATTTTGGGTTTCATGTCATGTGGGCTAAGTATATATATATAATAAAATAAATGATAGGCAATATATAAAAAAAAATATATCTATACACTACTTGGACTGTCCCCCCATACACTAACAGTCACCACAACCCAGACCACAAAAAAAAAAACAAGCACGATGGACCCAAAATGCAATTGAGAAGTTGGGTTGGCACATTTTGTCAATCTACCAACCCGCAAAGAAGTTGGGATTTTCACAGCATGAACCCAATAGTTCATAAAGAAGTTGGGTTTATATATACTTTGATCGGAAAAGGCCAATGAGAGCTTAAGTCTGTATATTGAAAAATCTTGGGCAATCCAGTACAGAGACTCAGATTATGCACCATCCTATCGAACCAAAGGAGGCCCACCAAATAAATGGGTTTATGCTTTGTAGGCTGCCCCCAGAGTGATTTTGTTGGATAAAATTTCTTCATGACTAATATGGCTTATCACAGAAAAAACAATCATATCTCATTACATATGACGCATGCGACAGAATCATGTGTGCTGATACTCTGACACACCCTAGTCTTTACTTTGAAAAGCTTTGCTTCTCAGTTTAAAAGTATCATTGGCCGAAGGATTTTCATATCGAATCATATGAATCACATGAATCATTTCATTGACTTGGCTGCCTGGTGTTCAAGCTAACCTGGGGCTTCACACTATATAACAGGTGCCAGAGATGGCCACACTAACGGGTGCCAGAGCTGGCCACACTAACGGAGAACTGGCCACACCAACGGGTGCCAGAGCTGGCCACACTAACGGGTGGCACGGCCCTCAAGCAGGATCCAGGCTCAGGCTGGGCTGGCAGGCCCTAGTCGACTGCAGGTTCAGGACAACCTGGGGATTTGGGGGAGGCTGCGGTTGTAAACTTTTGGGCTGGGAAGTTGTGCTTTTTAAGCCTAAACGTTGTGGTTTTTTGTGCTTTTTCTTGTGATTAGTTGTGCTGTTTGTTGTGCTAATTTTTGTGATCAAATCATCAGGGAAGTTGTGCACTTTTCGTGTTTTTGTTGATGAAGTTGTGAGGTTTGTTGTGCTAATGTTTGTGATCAAATCATCAGGGAAGTTGTGCACTTTTTGTGCTTTTTTGTTGATGAAGTTGTGGTCGGTGCCAAATATAAAATCAATTAGATGTGTTTATTTTTTCCTTGGCTTGTTGTTGTGCAAAAATGATCAGGGAAGTTGTGCTCTTTAAGCCTAAACGTTGTGGGTTTTGTTGTGCTTTTTCTTGTGGTTAGTTGTGCTGTTTGCTGTGCTAATTTTTGTGATCAAATCATCAGGGAAGTTGTGCACTTTTTGTGCTCTTTTTGCATGGGAAGTTGTGCTTTTGATATTTTCTACCTTTTCCAAAAGCACGGCCGAGAGCACCAAAAAAAAACACAACATCAAGCAAGGGTTTTCCCTTAGCAAAATTTGTCCCTTAGCAAAACTTGTCACTGAAAAATTTGTCCCTTAGCAAAAGTTTCCCCTTAGCAAAATTTGTCCCTTAGCAAAATTTGTCCCTTAGCGAAACTTGTCCCTGAGCAAAATTTGTCCCTTAGCAAAATTTGTCCCTTAGCAAAACTTGTCCCTTAGCAAAATTTGTCCCTTAGCAAAACTTGTCACTGAGCAAAATTTGTACCTTAGCAAAACTTGTCCCTTAGCAAAATTTGTCCCTTAGCAAAACTTGTCCCTGAGCAAAATTTGTCCCTTAGCAAACTCGTCCCTGCACTGCTGCCTTTCCCTTTGCCCAAAAGGGATTTTATCCAACAAAATCTCTGCAAGCTCCAACTGAATAGATTTGAACTGAATAGATTTGATCTGGTTCCAAGTAGGCTGCCCCCAGAGTGATTTCATACTTCGGTTCAACATCAGAAAAATTTGGATTGAGAAGATTGGGCCTCTCAATTTGTTTGTGGTTTTGGTCCCTGGGTTGTTGTGCAATTTTGGCTGGGAAGTTAGAATTAAAATCCATTATTCCACTGTTAGTGGGGGGGTCACTCCAACATATACTACTATATTATAATATTCAATAAAGAACAAGTATAAAATATATAATCTCTAATATATAAAAGATAATAATTGAACTGTCTATGTTTGATGCCAAGCCCCAAAAAGAACAGTTAAAGGACAACAGCGCGCGGCGGGCAACAGCTGCAGCCTTTTTCACCTTGAGCCAAAAGTCATTGAAATGGACAAACTGGACCTTGACTGGAAAGGAAGGGTTTACTAATGAATATGTAGGCGCGTTTACCCCACAATATTCAAGTCCCCCCTAACCCTAAACTGTACCATAGTCAAGAGTCCTACAGGATACTGTACACATGGCCACCCTGCGCGCCATTGGCTTCCATGCATCCTAACAAAGCAAATGACGGCCCTAACGGATGATTCCAGGCAAGGGATGAGTTGATTCCATTAAGAAATCTACCATGCCTGGCAATTTCAAGCACTGATGTGCTATGCAATGAATTACCGATGCTTGAAGTCCAACGGATGCATATGGAGAAGCGCCTAGGCAGCTAAACTCCCGGATCCAGTCTTGCGGACAAGACAAAAGACAAAGACAAACCGGATGACAATGGAAATGACAAAGCAAGTCCAAAAGATGAAGGTGTAGATGGAACTTAGTTACATCCACACGGCTGTGCGCTTAGCGGCTGCAACATGCTGAATTAAACTTCGGCAGTTGTGGTTGAAGCGCAATGGAATTGACAAAGCAAAATCCAATGACTGAAAATGTAGATGGAACTTAGTTACATCCACATAACTGTGCTCTGAGTGGCTTGCAACGTACTGGAATTTAATTACAGTAGTTGGTGATTGAGATCTCAAGTAAAACAAAAGATTTCTGGGCCCATGAGTTTATCAACAGCAATTTGAATGCCGTGACAGGAGGACTCCTGCAACAAAACCAAACCTGAGTGGCTGTAATAGGCTTGATGCAGAGCAAATCCAAGACGCCTGACCACGTTGACACTGGCAAAGCTTTATTCATGACATCAGCCTTTTGATGACTGGTCTGAATATACTGGATGAAGATATCTTCGCCAGAAAATGCTTCGCAAGTGCTCGCGACGTTAACGCGATGAAATTTGGCCAAGTGTTTCAATTTCGGGCTATAGCCCTTGGCGATAATTGCCACAACCGCTTGGTTGTCTTCAAAGCACTTAAGAATGAAGGCGGGGTCAATCACAAGTTGATAAACTGCCAAAAGTGAGATGGCCTCTCCAAACAATGCGGTGCTCAAGGCAACAAACTCTGCTTCTGTCGTTGATCTTGAGACAGCCCTCTGGGTTTTTGATCCCCACAGGATGATAGCAAACGAGCCTGCGCCTTCTAGAGCAATGATGAAACCACTGGTCGACTTCATGTCGGGTGACGATCCGAAGTCACTGTCAACATAGAGCGACAACCACAGTTTAGCTGGAGGGTCGTTGATTCGCATGACATGAGCGCAATCAACGGTGGCAGCGATGTAGCCGACTAACCGAGCTGCACGCTTGTCATCATTGGTGCTCCATCGAGTGATATTACGGGCAAGTGTATTAATGGCAACCATGATGTCTGGACGACTGATCCGAGCCACATAAGTTTCATCACAAGCTTTGCAGAGGAAGCTGAGAGTTGTCCAACACACTGACCGTCAGTTTCGACCAAGGTCCCGCTATCGCAGTGAGGTGTGCGAAAGTGGTCTCTCCTCGAGTCGGGCTTCACTAGATCGGAGACGGGAAACTTCGGACATCAGGCGGTTAATCTCAGCATCCTTATGACCAAACAAATTCTGGATATTGGACATCTGGGACTCAAACTGGGTAATCTGAAAACCCATGGCTTGATGGCGATAGACTTGAATTGGACATCCCTCTGAAGCCTTTCAATCTCAGAAGTCTTGGATCAATCGGAATGATACAAGCTTTCAGCAAGATTCACAAGCTCTTGGATGCGACTACATGCTTGCTGGTAGACTTCTTGGGCTAATTGCTCTAGACCTCGGGCTTTCTCTTCAGATTCTTGGATGACCGGTCGAGCTTCAGACACCATATTTGAGGAAACCATGGGATCTACTCCAACATTAACCTGCTGGGATCGCTGATCATGATATTCAAAGGTGTTGTGAACAGAAGTCTGGGGTCCAGAAGGAAAACTCGAAGGCAACTGTGATGGCTGGGATTCTGAACCAACCTCATGACCAGTTGAAGCAACTGCCAAACGCCTACCAGAGTCATGAACCTTTGGCAAACTTTTGATAACTTGTGACATGTTGCGCCTTC